CCCCCCCGAGGTCTTACAACAGAAAATTGGTAGCACTTTCATGGTGCCCCCAACCCTCTGCAGAGACGATAAATGATTTTCTAGATGTTTTTAGGGGAGATGTGTACAATGTTCATCGTTTATAAAGATAACATATTATTAATTAAAATATAAGGTCTATTCCTACCTACACAAGTAAAACTAGTTTGAAGGTTCTTCAGTAGACCCTCAACCAATCTTTGATCAGACTGCGGGAAGATAATCACCCAGTTCTGTAGCTTGACAGAAGATTGGCACTGCAAAAAATCGATGCTTAACACGTTATACATAAGCCACTTCTTCCTACAAAGCCTTCTTAGTTCAAAATCAGGTTTAGGTCTGACGCGACCTAAGCTGATAAATACATGATGTATGAGGAGACCATTAAATATTCTAAATAAGTCCATTTTTAAAGTAAATGAAGACATTTCCGAGTTATGTAATAATGTCATATTTGAAGAGTTATGCACTAACCTTCCAGTTTCTAAAAGCTCTGTCCCAGGAGGCATCAATGCTGGACATAATTTTTAGAACAAAAGCAACGAGAATACGCCCTCGACTCCCCCCCCCCTTTTCCCAATGTTTAGAGGACGGAATAAACAGACAATACCCTTAATTCCTAACATCACTGAAAAAGGTTGGATCCCATTAAAGGAGAAAGCACAAATTGATTGTTTTTAATGTTACACGACCATTGATAAAATTAATTATTTATTTATTTATTAAAAGTGATCAATTTCAGACTTCAGCATCATCAGCAACAGAAGTTTCAACGTTTTTTACTTTTCTTTAAAACTGCAATGTAAATCACTTAGATCAATCTAAGTCAGATATATACCTGGTATAGATAGCTAGATCTTTCATTAGATTAAAATCTGCACGCTGTGCATCCGAAAGTCCAGTCATGTACCTGAACTCTGCAACATGACTGGCCTTTCGGATGCCAGCGTGCAGAATCAGATAGGAAGACCGGAGTCTGTACAGCACCTCTCATATCCTTTTCCTGAGAGTAAATGGATTTTGATAAATATGAAGTAAAATTTTGCGACAATTTGTTTACTGACCCTGGGAATAGAAACCAGGAGTGGCTGGTCCAGATCAGTTATCTTCATTCCCCACCGATCTAGATAGTACTGTGCGTACTGAATCTTCTCTCCCTTCTTGGTCTCGAAGAAATCCTTTGGACTCATATCAAGCCTGATCTCAGATATCCTGAAGTGCTCATTAGTTAAATGGTTTCAGACTAGTGCAATAAATTCTGGAAAAGTATCACAATATCTCATAAGAGGGACAGAAACACTAAAATTTCTGGCTAAGATTTTGATTACCCGAAAAGAAAAACTTACTTGTACGTTTTGTTGTTATACTTAGTGATAACTATTTGAGATAACAGAAGTTTATCCAACTTCTCAGAGGATACCCCTCCTCTTTCAGACACCTTCTTCACCATATCAAGAACAGTATCTGTGCGAAGCACCTAAATACGAAAGTAGAAAATGTGACACAATCTTTTGTTTCACAGATTGTTATGTTAAAGATAAAATCTCCTAAATTAATTTAGAAAATTTATTACTAGTCTAGAGAACACGCCTCTGCTCCTTATTTAAATTACCTTGTGGGAAATCTCCACACACAGCATGATCTCGTTCTCATGCTGACGGATACTGGTCTCATATCCAGGATACAACTCCAGGTGTACTTTGACAAGCTTGGGATCTTTGATCACGGCCTAGAACAAGAAAACAAATCAAGCTTTTTTGGGCTAAATTTTTACGGCAACTTGGAGAAAGCCGAATTTCACTAAGTTAATGTAGTACATGTAAAGATCTGGATGTTTTAGCCCAAGAGGATTAAGCAAATTGGTGGGAAATTTTTTTAAAAATATTTTTTTTCTTTAGAAGAATTTTTAGTTTAGAAAATTTGTACCTTCGAGTCGTAGAAGTTTCTCCCAATCTTGTCAAGGTTCAGCTTCTCCAGAACTCCCCTCAGCATGATATTCATAAATTGCAAGTACCTACTGGACTCGGGTTCAACTTCGCCTACATACTTGATAGTCACCTGGATAATTTTTAGTAAGCTTTTATTAAATCATCATTTATACTGCTTTTAATGTTTAATACTTTTATAACTGCAATAATATATATTTAGTTTCGATTTAAGCACAACATTCCTAGCTTGTACAAGTACTTTCATGCATCCGACATGTTGTTAGATTTCATTAATCCCTTTTTTAACTCGACAAATGGATTTGCCGACCCCAAAAACGCATTTTGAAAAGTAACATGTCAATTTGCACTTTTTGAATCAGCGTGCATCCAGCATGCGCCCTATTTATAACCCTATTGGATTTTCCTACCACAAAACATATGTTATGATATGCTTCTTTATTTTCCGGCACAGGTTTATTTTATACAGGAGCAGTGTTACTAGGTTTATCTAATGGGTTTTCAATAAATGGCAAAGATACTTTTCCAGTAAAATTTTTATTCCCAAGGGTTCTGACTGAGGGTCTAACATTTTTAGCTTTCAGCATGACGAACAGTATATTTTTTAAATTAGTCAACGACGACCAAGAAAAATGAAACAAGAATTCTGTAATGTCTCATTATTCTTTATCGTTTTCTGTATATTTCTGGAATTTTATTTGATGAGACGACATTCAAAGATTTTGAAGAAATCTACAAACAAATTCGTGAAGAATAAGAAATTTTATATAATGAGGAAAATGAATCATTTTATTTTAACTGATTTAGTTCCCTGTAGAATTTGATACTTTTTCGTAATCTTCATTGAAAAATAAAAAAAACGATTCTCAAAATAATCTCTCCAAAATGGACAATCTATGCGGAAAACTGAATTTGCGCTCTTGCTGGACAAATTTACACCGTAAAACCATCCGATAGATCTCAAATATTTCATAAAAAATTCCCTACAAAACTGCTTTCTCAGCTCAACTACCATGTCTAGCCTGACACTACCTTTAAGAACGTTATACCGACCTCAATGATCTGGTTGTCAGAGTCTCTCTTAGAACTGAACACCAATCTTTCACTTGAAGACGGTAAGAGGGCTCGCCGGAAAGAAGTACTTCTTCGATGGAACTGTGATGATAATCCATCGAAGAAATACTTCTTTCCGGCGGGCTCCTTATTCTGACGAACGTGATACTTTCGTTCCTAAAGCAGAGTTCAGATTTAATTTCTAAGGGCTTTATGTAAAGATTATTCTGAACACAACATATAATAAGTTGGTACAAAAATCTAAGAGAATGGAGTTTTTACATAATAATGAAATCGTAATACCAAATTTGACAGAACCTTACCTTTGTATAATCGACCTCAGGCTTCATGTCCACACGGTAGAGATAGAGTCTCCAGTTCGGCATCTTCTTCAAAGGAAAGTAGTTGGAAAGTACTACTTCCAACTACTTCCCTTTGAAGAAGGTTCCGAACTTAGATCTACTTTAGCTCCCATCTTGCGAACTTAGTCTGAGTTTCTGAGGGTATTGTTCTAAATAAGTTGAAGATTAAAAGAATCTTGTACATTTACTTATGATGAACAATTTACCTGTAAATGGCCATCGGCTCTGGCTTGCCTCGCTTTGCTCCTCTGCCCACACTCTCTCTAACAGGGATCTGTTCAGCAGCCCCGCCTCCTCCATTACCATTACCGTTGCCGTGACCGTTTCCGTTGCCATCATCACCGGCAGAAGATATCTGCGAAGCCAGATGAGTCAAATATGCAAAAATATTTTCAACACTTTTAAAATCTGTGTTCAGGAAAAACGGATGTGTAAAATTTTTTTTAAATGAGAAAAATTCTTCACATATGTTCGGTCAGTTATAGCTTACATACCAACAAATATATATGAGCGAAGGGCAAAGGCGTATACAGAGGGGGGGGGGGCAATAAACAGTGCCCCTCCCTAACCTGTAAAGGGGGGGGCGTAGCCCCCCTAGAAATCAGAGCTTACACTTTTCAAATCTTAAACTCACGAGTGAGAACAAACGCAGGCTTAAGAAACAAAAAATTGGGGTCTGCATCATTAGATGTCCAATATGAGACCATTGATGTTATTTCATAATTTAGTTACTGCTAATATTAACATACAAATGTTAATTTTAATTAATATTAACGCATAAATGTTATAGATTAGTGTTATCGTTAATGTATATGTTAACATTCATTATTTACTATAATGAATTGTTCCACTGAATTGGTCCATGTCCATGTCCGTTGACGATTAACATTAACTTTAAACAATTCATTAAAGTAAATATTGTTAACATATACATTAAAAATTACATTAACATTTGTATGTTTATATCAACATTTAGATTAATAAATAACATGCTCTCATATCGTGCCTGGTATCGTCTGCATAGAAATAGTTCTAGAAACTCCGTTGTACTTACCCCTTTCCTTTAGATGATGAGCTTCCAGTATCGCTGTCTGTAATATAATTTAATGCGTTAAAATTGGATGTCAGTGCTAATATATAGTTAAACGGTAAATGTAAGGTATCCCCCTTTCCCAACATTTTTGACTGAATAATCACTCATTTTCTGTTAGTCTTCATTTGTCTATTTGATTGACCCAAGACAAATTTAAGAAAATATAACAAGGTTGGTTCCTCATGTATGAAAATGCAGTCAGTCTTTCTAGATTTGAGTCGGCGCTAACCGGCTTACAACGGTTCAGCGACGCGGTTTAAATTCGAACTTTTCCAAAAAAATATTTAAAAAGACGACATTTTAAAAACGTAAGCCTAATAAAAAAGTTTGCATGCAGAATACACTAGGTTTATTGAGTATTATGTGTGTAGATAATTCAATGATATTGGGACGCTCCGTATTTCCATTAATAAATTTAACTTACCCGAACTGGAAATAGTCACGGACGCCATTCCTACATTTAATCCGACGCGTGGCACTAAAGATAACGATAGATTGAAATAAATGTTATACTGCAGAGGAACGTTAAATATATAGAAGCTTGAAGTGGACTTATTCACAACAAATAACTTTACAATGAACACATGTTTTAATATGCGTGTAAATTTAACATAAAAACATGCTTAAATATGGTAATCCCCAAATTCAAACTGTATTCTTAAAAGCGTTGTCTGACAAAAAATAATTGATATTAAATGTAAATAATCCTAAAAAAAGATTATTATCAATTGTGGTTTCTTGTATTTAAATCCACACTGGTGAGAATTTAAAACGTTCCAAAACCTGCTGTTATGAATCAGGCATAAACCCCTTTTTAAACTCTTATAAATTCAAAATAACAATTTAAAACTACCATAAACTTTGTTTTACCTGCAGTTTGAGCAATCCTCGGTTTACTTCTACCCCCTTGAACCGGCAAATCGTCCGCAGACACACCCCGACCTCGTCCAGCCATCAACCTGACAGAATATTAGTTCAAGAACTTGACAGAAGGCTTACAAGTTTCTCATTGGTTTAAGATGATATGAATGAATTAAGCTCCTTTGCACAACTAGCTTATATATAGCAGTATAGTTAAACATTTCCACAATTTAAGTATTTACTCAAAGTTTTCAATTAATTCCTCTCAAATACTTACACGGACTGTACAGCTGGTGGGGCATCGCCAGGTCTTCTACTTTCTCGGATGGTCCTTTCTCTTTCCGCTGTATTAGATTATATTTAATTTTCGTTACTTCCAANTCTTGCTCTACCTTGTCCCACCAAGCTGTCCATTTTTAGAATAAATATCGATAAATCTAGAATAAGTAAAACCCTTCAGGAACCCCAAAATCGCCAACGTACGGAAGCTTCTTGCTTTATGCCAGCGTAACCGACTCGCAGATTTAAGATAATTATTAAATTTCCCAAAATCGACAAAAAATATTCCATTTTTACTTTTTAAAGCAAGTTATATTAAGTCAATAGTAATAAGATCTCTTAAATGATGTTGCCCTCAAGAAGTTCTACCGAAATATGGCGGACATACCGTCATACATACGTGCTTTCAAGATCTTTCATAACTTTAGCATCCAATCAGGGCTCACCAGAAAAAGTTTGATCTTTTCTTTAAAAATATAAAATTTAATTTAAACAAACATTATACTCAAAATTGCATTACAATATTTGGATTTTAGATTAGAAAATAAAATGTAGAAACCCTGATATTAAAAATCTTAGGTAACGCGAAAAACGTTAAAGAACGTTTCAAAAACAGGTTCTGACATGTTTAGTGGAAACTTTCTCAATAATTTGAAAAAATTGGCGGGAAAAGATTAAAAGGTTTTTTCTTGTAGTTTTATCTTTCTAAGTTCGAAATAGAACAGATCTATCTTAATTGCAATTTTACCTGACAAAACGTTTTTATGAATAACACTGTTTGCAATTACAGGAATAATTGTCAGGGGGGAGGGGGGTATTAACCTTTTTGGCTACTTGTGGTGGGGCAGTTGACGTCGATGTATGAAACGTTGTCAAGGCCGGCGGTAGTGATCCCCCCTTCGCCCCCCACACACGAGCCACCTCCTAGGCGCAGCAATTGGTAGTGGGGGGATTTGATTTTTAAGAATTTGTGCTCAAGTTTTTTGTAGTGTAAAAATTGCAGTCAAATGTTGTAGAAAAAAGGACACTCGTCCCTTTGGACGTTTTAAGGTTATCACGTAAAATTACCTTAAAATACCTTTCTGAAAATTCAACATGGGAATAAGATATTTTCTAATAATTTAACCCTGAACCTTTCTCTAAGTTTATTCTATCTATCTCTGCAACCAGGGGCGTATTCATGAATTTGTCCTGGTTTACTTTTATTGTGTGTCTACGGTGACTCAGCACCTGGTTTGGGGCCCAAAAACCAATGAAATAATAAATTTCACTGATCTGTCTGCAATCATTGTAAGAATTGAGTCTATTTTGCCACAAACTCTAATTTTCTAATCCCTGTATCTTTGCAACCCAATGTTGTAACACAATTAGAAACTTCAAAGTATGAATTCTGTTAGATCAAATAATCTAATTTTGAAATATCAAAAGTTTACACATGTCATCTTGATAACATATAGACATTAGAACATTTGAGTTTGTAGCAAAGACTCGACTCCTGTTTTCTTCTCTTTAACCTATACTTTCTCCTGGACATAAATCTATCTCTTCGCCCTGTATTTAATCCTATTAATTTATCTCTTCACTCTGTATTCCATCCTAAACCCTGAATCAAATCCTTCCCGAACCTTAATCTCTCTATTCAACCTATTTCATCTTAAACCTTAATACAGCTATTCAATCTGTAATCCATCCTGAACCTTAATATATATATTCAACCTGAAATCCATCCTGAACCTCAATATATCTATTCAACCTGTAATCCATCCTGAACCTTAATATATCTATTCAACCTGTAATCCAACCTGAACCTTAATATACCTCTTCAACCTGTAATCCATCCTGAACCTTCATTTGTAATCCATACTTAACCTTTCTATATCTCTTCAACCTGTAATCCATCCTGAACCTTCATATGTCTCTTCAACTTGTAATCCATCCTGAACCTTAATATATCTATTCAACCTGTAATCCATCCTGAACCTTAATATATCTCTTCAACCTGTAATTCATCCTGAACCTTAATATATCTATTCAACCTTTAATCCATCCTGAACCTTAATATATCTATTCACGCTGTATTTCATCCTGAACCTTAATATATCTATTCAACCTATAATCCATCCTGCACCTTAATATATCTATTCACGCTGTATTTCATCCTGAACCTTAATATATCTATTCAACCTGTAATCCATCCTGAACCTTTATATATCTCTTCAACCTGTAATCCATCCTGAACCTTATTATATCTATTCAACCTGTAATCCATCCTGAACCTTAATATATCTATTCAACCTGCATTCCATCCTGAACCTTAATATATCTATTCAACCTGTAATCCATCCTAACCCTTAATATATCTATTCAACCTGTAATCCATCCTGAACCTTTATATATCTATTCACGCTGTATTTCATCCTGAACCCTGATATATCTATTTAAGCTGTATTTCATCCTGAACCTTAATATATCTATTCAACCCGTAATCCATCCTGAACCTTACTATGTCTATTCAACCTGTAATCCATCCTGAACCTCAATATATCTGTTCAACCTGTATTCCATCCCGAACCTTAATATATCTCTTCAACCTGTAATCCATCCTGAACCTTTATATATGTCTTTAACCTGTAATCCATCCTAAAACTTAATATATCTATTCAACCTGTAATCCATCCTGAACCGTAATATATCTCTTCAACCTCTGTAATCCATCCTAAACCTTAATATATCTATTCAACCTGTATTCCATCCTGAACCTTAATATATCTATTCAATCTCTAATCCATCCTGAGCCTTAATACATCTATTCAACCTGTAATCCATCCTGAACCTTAATACATCTATTCAACCTGTAATCCATCCTGAACCTTAATATATCTATTGGTGTTGGGTCCTTTCATAGAAAGACATTTCATAGATAGGACATTTCATAGACAGATATTTTATAAACAGGATATAATATAGATAGAACATTTCATAGACAGGATATTTATAGATAGGATATTTCATAGACAGGACAATTCATAGATAGGACGGCTCACGTACAAAAAGTAGAATTACAAAAGGTAGAATTACAGAAGGTAGAATGACAAAAGGTAGAATGACAAAAGGTAGAACAATCAAAAGGTAGATTGATCAAAAGGTAGAATAAACAAAAGGTAGAACGTTCAAAAGGTAGAATTACAAAAGGTAGAACGTTCAAAAGGTAAAATTTTTTTTATTTTTGAGAAGGAAGAAAATTTTCTAATTTTTACAAGAAAATCCGCGAATTTTTTTTTTTTAAATTCTCAAAACTGCATTTCTCGGTTGAATTCAGCATGGAGAGGTTGGTCAACTATGGGATGAATCAAAAGAAGAAAAGAACATTGATTGACGACCAGAAATATGAATATAATTTTGAGAAAATTAAGAATGGAACAGAGTTCAGCAAACAAAAACAGAGAGATAAACGTACTAGGATTAAAAACATGTATGTATAATAATATCCCTGCACCAGACTATATGAAACAGCTTGCCACAATTATTGGCATGGATTAAAATCATGTACATTTGTAAAATACAAATTAGTCCTAATAAATAAGAAACATTATTTTTTGACTTTTTTTTTACATTTAAAAAAAAATTAATTTGGAAAATTCTACCTTTCGAACGTTCTACCTTTTGTAATTCTACCTTTTGTAATTCTACCTTTTGTAATTCTACCTTTTGTTTGTTCTACCTTTTGATCGTTCTACCTTTTGTCGTTCTCGTTCTACCTTTTGTCATTCTACCTTTTGTAATTCTACCTTTTGTAATTCTACCTTTTGTACTGGAGCCGATAGGACATTTCAAATACAGAGAATATTTTTCATAGAGAAATAAATTTTTTTCTTCCAAGTAATCTTATCTAATAAATCATAGAGTAATAAAACTCTATATAATAAATCATACCATTCTTTCTACGATGTTATTCATATTTTTGCTAAACTGATAATATATTATATTGTTGATTTCTTGTTAGTCAAGCTGCAGGTAAAATTTTCAAAAATTGTGACACATTTTTTAAGTACCAAAAACCTTAAATTACTGAAAATATTGCTTTTGTGTCTTTAAAATTACATCTCTATGAAAATTCTACTCTGTCTATGAAATTGTCTGTTTATGAAAATTCTACTCTGTCTATGAAATTATCTGTTTATGAAAAATCTTCTCTGTCTATGAAGTTGTCTGTTTATGAAAAATCTACTCTGTTTATGAAATTGTCTGTTTATGTAAATTCTACTCTGTCTATGAAATGTCCTGTTTGTGGAAAGTCCTAATAGTATGAAATGTCCTATTTCTGAAATGTCCTGTCTATGAAATGTCTTTCTATGAAATGACCCTACAGCTATCCATTCAACCTGTAATTAATCCTTCTTAACGCATTCTTATTCATCTATGGGTTTCCTCCTTTTAAGTATTGCAGAGGAAAGGACAAAAAGAGGAGGATGTTAATTTTACTTTTTAAATACCAATCATACCACAAAGCATGGACAAGAATCAAAGCTAAAAATTTAATGAGTCAACCAAGACAAAGTGGTTAACTTTCAAACTGTCAAAATTATACCCCCCTCAGCCTTTTTTTTAATGAACAGATCACCTGAACACCTGCCTCATGCTCATTTTCTTTTCTCTTCATCAATTTGACTTCACCAACTTGACATCAGGCTGCAAAGATTAGGTCTGCTGGCAGAGGGTGAGGACTGGTATCCTGGTAGAGAGTGAGAACTGGTATCCTGGTATAGGGTGAGGACTGGTGTCCTGGAAGAGGGTGAGGACTGGTATCCTGGAAGAGGGTGAGTACTGGTATCCTGGTAGAGGGTGAGTACTTGTATCCTGGTAAAGAGTGAGAACTGGTATCCGGGTAGAGGGTGAGGACTGGTATCCTGGTAGAGGGTGAGAACTGGTATCCTGTTAGAGAGTGAGGACTGGTGTCCTGGTAGTGTAGGGACTAGTATTCTGTTAAAATGTGAGAACTGGTATCCGGGTAGAGGGTGAGAACTGGTATCCTGGTAGAGGGTGGGGACTAGTATCCTGGTAGAGGGTGAGGACTGGTATCCTGGTAG